ACCGGAGTATGCGTTCGCGCAACTTCGGCCAAACTTTCTTAATAATAATAAAGCGTTATTAATTGTGTACACGTTCGTGCGACATGATTTTTGACGCGCCAAACAAACGGGTACACATACGCGTGACCATGTTTAGAGATAATTTCTTAATTAAAAGAGGCAAACGCACATAGGTTCTAAAATGAGTAATAAAACAATTTGATTAAGCCAAGTATGATCAAAGCGACTGTACTAGAACCGTGGAACTCGAGAATGCCTAACACCTTCTTCTGGGTTAACAGAAGTCCTTACCCGTATTTCTGTGTTTGCAGACCGTAAATAGAGTCAACTTCCTCGATTCGGGATTTAAACCGGTGACTTGGGACACCATAAATTATCCCAAGTGGCGACTCTAATTTTAATATAAATAATTCTGTTTCGATTGTCACTTAAATTGGAAAAAACTCCCTTATACTCCCTTCCGGAGGTGGTAAAAAGGAGGTGTGAAAATATTTAGTTAATAAACATCCAATTTGTTGCTCAAATTCTTTGAAGATTGAATACGTGAATTTCTGTGAGTCCAATAGCTGTGATTGATAGGTTAATTCCCTGTGGGATTCGACTTCAGACTTGTTAACCGAAATATATTTGCAGCGACCGCTTTGTCCTTTTTATAAGGCATAGTTGGGCGTGATCAACAATATCACTAGAAATGGCAAGAAGAGAAGAAAAAATGTAGAAGATATCGTGTTATACCTTTCGGATGAAGAATTGCACTTAATTTTGGAGAAGGCTAGAGTCGTGTTGATAACGTATTAAAAATGTAGCTCAAAGTAACAATATAAAACAAGAAGATAATTAGAATAAGAGAAGAAGAGATAACTTTCTTATTTCATCAAGTGTTCAAGTGTATTCTATCTCACATTTCATGCCTCTATTTATACTATTACATATGAAGGTTACAAAATGATTGTCTTAAATATAACATTAACAAATGAGATCATGGGGGAAGATCATGGGGAGAGGTTATGAAGATGTGAGAGTTACAATCATAATAATGATGAGTAGTGGAAGGTTATTCACATTATGGGTGAAAATAGTGAAAGTAGTGGACATCTATATTAACTATAGGTTTTACAACACATATATCATACTAGTAATATATATTGTGGCATCAAAACTTTAGAATATCGATCGAAATTATTTTAAATTAAAATTGAGTGAAATCCTAATTAGCATCCAGCTTCACCAAACAAAGATCGATAAATTATAAGATGGATTGAACACATTAATTTAAAATTATATTAAAAGATCGGGAATAGGTTCATGCTGATTTTAAATTTTTGCAATTAAAGACATAGTAATAATGATGACAATGCCGACACGTGAAGTTGTGGACTGAAAGCAATTACTTTAGGGAAAGCATCAGCCTGAAATGCAATAGTAATTGAAAGTAATTTTTTCTTTTAAGTAAAGAAAGAGTATTTTTGTTCCCACTGCTTTCTGGAAAATCCTTTCACACTGATTAGACTCCTTTACCGCTCGCCAAACAAAAGCTAAAAAGGGAAGAAAAGAGGGAAAAAACAATCGTCGTTACCAAATTTCCGAAGATTTTTACTTCATTATTAGTCACTACTATTTAGTTATGGGTAGGCATAAAGTCAAAATACTGTTAATTGTAATAGTAAAGATGTACTTTAAAAATATTGTATCTATAAGCTTAATTGAACAATTTAATGAACTGATAAAATCTTTTTCTCAAATAAGGGATCCTATCACTCTTGTGTTTTAGCTAGTCATTAATAATAATGTAGACATAGACTGATGCAACTAGGTAAGCTTGCTTTCACTACCTTTTGTCTTGACATAATTAACTCAATAAATTTAAAACATTACATTATATTTATGATAATAAGTTGGTAATCATTGTTAATAAGTCATGATTGTCATATGTGACTTATTAAAAGTTTTGAACCAACCCTCTTTATATTCATTTATGAATTTTAGGTTAACTATTTGTGAATTTCACGTTATACTTGTAAATTTCAACTCCGGTCTGATATTACATGTGTGTGGGCGTCATTGTCAGTTGCCCATATTGTCAATAGATTTTGCCTAATTCCGCTCTAGCGGGGTACATCACATTGATACATATTATACCCCTAGCATACACATTAATATCTATGACTATCGCACCCCACACCTAGCCTTAAATTCATGCTTGATTAATGCATTTTTCACTGTATATACGTCCTGCCCTACATACTAATGCAAACACGCCAAATCCTCGACCACCACCTTGACCTATTTTAGTCGGCATTTGAATAATATTTAGTTGAAGGTAAAAAAAATTCTAACTTAAAGTTAAAAAGAGTATGTGAACGTTTTTTTTTTTAAGAAATAAACTCACATGAAAAAAAAAGTGAAAACTTGCGAGTGACAGCAACTATTTTACTTGAAATATTTCAACTGAAATTTTCAGTATTTCACCGTTACATGCAAACTTTTAGGTGACCGATAATGTAGAATTTTTTCACCCTATTAGGGGTCGTTTGGTTACGAAGATGAGATGGACAAGAATATCACATAAGGTTAGTTATCCCATCTTATGCATGCGATAGCTAATTCCACAATTTTAGTACAAAAGATTGTACAAACTAATTAAAACCTATAACCAAACGCGAGATAATATAATTTCACATTTTATTCAAAAATTATTATCCCTTATCCCACGAATCAAACCTATCCCTCAGGGTATATAAAGGATCATTTACAAATATTGAACTTAATACTGAAAGGGACTTTTTCCTTCCTATACCATATATGAAATCTTATTACCAAAAATGTGCATAGTTTCATATTTACCCGCCATGTTCACAGTTATTCTACAAATATTAGACCATTCATTAAATACCATTTATTAGGAGTTGATTCCTTCCTAATTAGGTGTGCTACAAATCTGGAACTAAATATTCCTCCATATTTCATTAAATAAGGAATCATTGTAGCATTAAAATTCCTTATTTAGATATCTCTAATTATTTTTTTCTGTTTGAGAGATCAAATGACGCGAATAATCAGAGAGATAGAGTATGAGACCGACTTTTGAAAATTGTTCCTATTTTCACCTAATCTTTCTACTTATAGTCTCACTTAAACTTGTAGCTGAAAATATCGTTATATTTTTTTCCATGAAAAATAATAAGTTGACAAATCTAATAGTTGATGTCACTAGGTAGTATTTTTCAAACTCGACAAAGTACTTGATGTAGCTTTCTAACATATTTCCCTTGATCTATAATTGAGAATACTATAATGAATCTTTAAGATTATATCTAGTCGAAAATCTCAATTAAACTACAATCGAATGGGAATTGGGATATTAAAATTCAATATATCCAATTTGTAGATATTTTGTAGATGAATTGTATATTATTTGTATTATGATTGTAGATAATTTATTTTTTGTTTTCACAAATCAAAAACGACTAAAACTTCTATAAATCTTTTGTTTAAAAGGCAATTATGTCGAAATTCCAATTAAACTACAATCAAATGGGAATTGTGATATTAAAATTCAATGTACCCATTTTGTAAATATTTTGTAGATTATTTGTATTCTAATTGTAGATGCTTTGTTTTCTATTTTCACAAATCAAAAACGACTAAAACTTCTACAAATCTTCTGCAAAAAACGCAATTATGTCGAAAATTTCAATTATGCTACAATTAAAATGGGAATTGGGATATTAAAATTCAATGTACCCAGTTTGTAAATATTTTGTAGATAAATTGTAGATTATTTGTATTCTGATTGTAGATGCATTGTTTTCTGTTTTCGCAAATCCAAAAGGACTAAAACTTCTACAAATCTTCTGCAAAAAATGCAATTATGTCGAAAATCCCAATTATGCTACAATTGAAATATGAATTGGGATATTAAAATTCAATGTACCCAGTTTGTAGATATTTTGTAGATAAATTGTAGGTTATTTGTATTCTGATTGTAGATGCATTGTTTTCTGTTTTCACAAATCCAAAACGACTAAAACTTCTACAAATTTTTCTGCAAAATACGCAATTATGTCGAAAATACCAATTAAGCTACAATTGAATGAGAATTGGGATATTAAAATTCAATGTACACAGTTTGTAGATATTTTGTAGATAAATTGTAGATTATTTGTATTCTAATTGTAGATGCTTTGTTTTCTGTTTTCACAAATCAAAAACAACTAAAACTTCTACAAATCTTCTGCAAAAAACACAGTTATGTCGAAAATCCATTTTAAATTTAAAAATCAACATCCACACCCCTAAAGAGATAAAAACAAAAACAATTGCCAGAGAAATTCTTTCTAGTTAAACAAATGGCAAATAACTAAAAAGGAGTCGGTGGTCATAGATTAAATTAAAAAAAAAATTGAAAATAAGGAGCTCTTAAGATCTTGACTAGCCAACTAAGTCAATTGGTTTGCATGAAACAGAAGTACATACTAAAAGTTACTCTACAGTAAAAGACATTGTCATTTATGAAGTTTTTGTAACCCGAGGCTGCCAACAAAGACCTATTTCTAGTGTAAGGCGTGGGGTTTTGGCGTAAAAGACATAGCATTTTTTCACTGAATGTAGATGAAAAAAATTTAAATTGAACTTTAATGGTGGGTTAACGATGTTTCTGTGGTTTTAGAAGAGGAAAAAGAGGTAAAAAGAACGTGTTTGAGTAAAATGTGGGTGAGGGTTTGGGAGAGAGAAACGTGGGAGGGGTGGGATATACGGTACCTTGAATTAAGGAGGGATATACGCTGCATTAATTGTACCCTTAAAATACATTATGGTATAGAATTGGTAATTTGGTATACTAAATGTAATTATATCAAACTTTAAACATTAAGGGTAATAATGTTTTCTATGTGGTATAAGAATGTACATAAATTGTATGGGCAAATGGGGCCAATCGGCGGGACCCAACTCTCCTTTCGAACCCAATCAATATTCTCTATAAAGACAGTACCCGTTCCTCTCCAGCATCAAATTAACCAAAATATTCTTTACAAAAATGGCCGCAGCAAAGCTTCTATTTCTTGCAGCTGTGCTCTCTCTCTTCTACCTCTCCGGCGCGGCGGATACCGCCACCAGTTTCATCAAAAACTCTTGCAAACCCACAACGTATCCCGATCTGTGCGTCGCTTCTCTTTCCGGTTACGCACCAACCATAAAGAACAGCCAAGAACAGCTAATCAAAACAGCCTTGTCCGTAAGCCTGGACAGAGCCCAATCCACAAAGGGATTCGTAAGCAAGCTCTTGAAATTCAAGGGATTAAAGCCCAGAGAATACGCAGCTATTAAAGATTGCATAGAGGAGACAAGTGATAGTGTAGATCGGCTAAGCAAATCGGTGAGTGAGCTCAAGGAAGTGGACCATAGCCGTGGGAAGGATTTCTTGTGGCATATTAGCAACGTGGAGACATGGGTCAGTGCTGCTATCACCGATGAGAATACTTGTACCGATGGGTTTGCGGGTCGGGCCTTAAATGGTAGAATTAAGGCTTCGATTAGAAACCGGATCGCTAATCTAGCTCAGGTCACTAGCAATGCACTGGCCTTAATCAACCAATATGCTGCAAAGCATTAATTGATAAGCTCCATTTTTATGTATACAGATAGTTTGATGAGTGTTTGTCCTTTCCTTTTTATTTGGGGGTTGGGGTTGGGTGAGGGTTTATGGGAGTGGTTTTTATGCAGGAGGATCAGTAATTAAGTGAATGTAATCCACATATTATAATGTGATAAGTTTTGTTGGATATTTTGCTTTGTTGTATTAAAATTAATACTTATTTTATTTTATTTTGTGCGACACTATTTTTTAATAAGTCATTTTCTATTTGAAATAATATAAATTTAAATTATTCATTTCATTTTTAATGAAACTTTTATCGCTATGCAAATATTATTGCATGTTTAAAAAGAAATTAAGTATCAAAAGTTTTACGATTACACAAATGTTATAATATATTTAAAATCACAAGTTTCAAAACTCTTTATTTCTTTTGTAACTATATGTTGAGTCAAATTATGTCATACAAATATAAATTTATACTGAGGGAATATATATATAATTCAAATTTTTTGATAAAAAAAAAAGATTGTTACCTCTATGAGGATATTTTAGTCGTGGTAATCCATATATTACTCACATATTATTTTAGATTATATCTCATATAAAATATTAATGTACTTAGACTTTTTTATATAAATTAGGTATGTGAAAAAGAAAGCTAGGAACCAAACAATGATTGTTAACAATATACTAAACTTTATGTGGATATATAGAGCAATGGTTAGATCGGCCATGTTGTATGGGGCTGAGTACTGGTCAGTCAAGAATTTACATATCCAGAAAATGAAAGTAACAGAAATGAGGATGTTGAGATGGATGTATGGGCACACTAGGCTGGATAAGATTAGGAATGAGGATATTCGGGAGAGGATGGGCGTGGCTCCAGTGGAGGACAAGATGCGGGAAGCGCGACTTAGATGGTTTGGGCACGTGTACAGGAGTAGCATAGATGCCCCGGTTAGGAGGTGTGAGCGGTTGGCTTTGGGAGGTACGAGAAGAGGTAGAGGGCGGCCTAAGAAGTATTGGGTCGAGGTGATCAGACAGGACATGGCGCGGCTCCAGATTTCCAAGGACATGGCTCTTGATAGGAAGGTGTAGAGGTCGAGCATTAGGTTTGTAGGTTAAGAGTAGTCGAGCGGTTTTCCTCTTTATCCCGGTTTTCCTCTTTGTGCCGACGGGTATGATAGGGTTTTGTCTAGCCTTGTTTGTTTAACCAAAAAGTGAAATTTCGGTCAAAGCTTTAATTTAGAAGAACACGGGTTACTGATAATCAAAACTAAATAAAGGAAAGTGATTTTGCTAACAATAAGGTAGACAGAAGAAAACAAAGTAAACCAGTATATTCAGATGATCTTTCGTGTCCTTAAAAATGATCCATTCTCTCCTTTTTATAGTTATCTCAAAGATATATGTTTTGCCTTTGTCATAATAAGGTCATTATAGACAATTAAAGGCATTAAATGTTGCGTTACATAATCATTGTAATTTAATACAGATTCTCTAACGTTTTTAGTATTAAATATTGTATCTGTACTCTCTTGTGCTATCAGATTCATTCTCCTTGATTTTTGGGTATAAATAGGCACGAGCGTTGAGTCTTTTGAATAACTGGCCGTGCCTCTACTTGTACCTCTGCTCGTATCTGTTGCAACTCGTGTCTCTTTGCTAATCATCATTCTTTGACCAACCTTCGTGTCATGACACGTCATCTTTCAATCACTTCAATATGTAAACTCAATTTTTCCCAATACATTGTTAGCAATGTATGTTGTGTTTCACACTTTTGCATAATGTTTGTGTTACTGCTTTTTTATTTATTTGATGTCTCTCACGTTGCTGATATTATTTTTTTGGGTTTTGTTGCCACAGATCTATTGCCTCTGAGCCGAGGGTCTCCTTAAAACAGTCTCTCTACCCCCTCCGGGATAGGGGTAAGGTCTGCGTACACTCTACCCTCCCCAGACCCCACTGATGAAATTTTACTGGGTTGTTGTTGTATACTAAATTTATGCAAAGATTATTTCTTTCAATGCTACCCATCAAATGTCACCGCTAGTGGCGGATCTACATGTTATTTTTGGGAGAGGCCGGTGAAACTTTGGTGTGATTCGGAGCTCCCCTGCCGGTAAAAATGGAGGAAATTCCTTAGGGCTGCGCTAGGGGTTGTGTATGAGAGAGATGAGAGAGGTGAACGAAAAGGGGGGGCCTGTTTGGACTGAACTGGTCTCTAAAGCTTTAGGACCGATTTAAGTGGAATGAAGGAAGTGTTCTGGGCCGTCGGATGAAACAAGATGAAGGCCAGGATTTGTTAAAGCTATATTGAACTCAAAACGACGCTGTTCTACTCCTATACTGCATCGTTCCTAGGATCTTGGGGGCTGAAGGCTTTGGGCGAGGTATGGATGTGGAGCTGAGTTAGATTCAAGCGGGTAACGAGCAAAATAACGCTTGGGTCTGAGAATTTTACTTGAATGCCCAAAATTCAGACATTTACTACTTCCTTTCTTTTTCCCTTTCAATTTCTTTTTCATTCCTTTTTATTTTCAAAATAAAACTTAAAACCTAGAATAAATCTTAAAACTAAATTAACTTATCAAAAATATTAATTACTCAAGCACGGTATTTACAAAAAATAATTAAATCCGAATTTAAAAGAAAAAACTACAAAATTCGAAATTAAAGAGTGAAAATGCAACATGAACTATTTTTGTGATTTTTTCATTTTTGTAAAATAAACTAATTTACTAATTAATCTAAAAAAATGTAAGATTAAGTCCTGAATGCAAATGCAATATATTTTTGTATTTTTCATGGATTAAATAAAATAAACGTGTACAGACAAATGCAAACAATTAACAAAAAATGCTACAAATCTACGAAATCGCAAATAATGTGAAAAATTTATTTTGCTTGAATTTATGGGAGTAATTCATATAGGGTAAAAATCACGTGCTCAAAGCTGCCCCTCTTTGCTCGGAAACACGAAGAGTTTTCGTGCAAAGACAAAGTGAGCATATACGAGCGATTTTTGCCCGTTTGAATACTTCATGGGAAGCATTTTTGAAAGATTTGACCGCACCCTACTTCCGAGGTTGCCTACATATCCTTGGCTATAAAGGAATCAGGTCAGTGTAGTTCGGAAAGTTTCGGTAGCTGGGACTACCATGAAGTTGTGATTTCACTGTTGTTGTTGTTGCTGCTACTGCGTACTGAACTCCTTATTACACCATGTCAAAATAAAAAAAGCTAGACTAAACTGTGATCTATGCATTACAAAAATCCTATATGTATCTTCAAACTTGATCTTGTGGTTCTTGTAGACATGTATTCTCCCGGTGAAGTCCCTTTGTTGCCGACTTGAATTGTAATCTGAGATGCTTTGCCTTTTCTTCAGGTGGACGCCTGATTGCTGTACTCGAATTATAATCTGAGATGCTTTCCCTTTCTCCAGGTGGACGCCTGATTACCGACACTTAAATTGTTCCCCTTCCTTAAAACTGATG